AGATAACATGCATCAAGGGTCTGATCCTAAAGTAAATACAGATGCAAAATTGACACTGGGGGGCACTATGAGGTGGATCCATGCTCTCCCAGAAAATGTTGAAATCAAGTGTCCCAGATTAGCTAAAAATGCATTTGCCATACAACAATTGTTACATCATTCTATAGTCTAATACATTTATACACTATCGCAAAACTATCGCACTATTAAGATGGTTGCACTTATAATTGCATTTCTGAGGTCATGGTGTTAATTTTCCTCTGAATTTCTCCTTTTATCTGAATTATTACAATTTTTTCTTTCTTGGGGAAATATTTTCTGGGAACTCAAAAAATTTCTGAGACCAATGGTCCCGTGGTCCGATACTTTTTCCACTCCTGAACAAGCTATCCCCTGGGGTTATAGACAGAGCAAAATACTATGATGGATGGAACAAGAGACACTGGCAGATAGTTTTTGTTAGCCCATATTAACTTTATCTCAACTATAGGAAAGCTCAAAACTAAGAAGATGTATATGTACAGTGTACACTAAATTTGATTCAGGCCTTACTAAATGAATTTTGTAAAATGAAACTATAACCTCACCTCAACAAAGTTTATGATGTCCAGTTTGCTCTTAGCAGGTTGACTTTTTGATTTGAAGAGTGAATTAAATGTTCTTCATTAGGTGAAGTACTTTCTGTAGAATTACATACATAAAAAATAATATTAATTAAGTTACCAGTACATTTTTAATAAAAGCATTGTGATATTTTGAGAGCTAAAAAATGCAATTTTGATTTTTTCATATCATTTATTAGTTACCAGTACAGCATAAACCAAAATGCAATTTTCATTTATTATTTTCAGGGGTGGAAAAAATATTTTACTTTCTGGGACCGCAAGAGAACATTGAACATTTTCTGTAAATAGTCAAGTAAATGGACATTTGGACACTGTAATTGTGTGACACTAACAAGTTGTCAAACTGGATGTCATGCTATATTTCACAGGAAAAAATATTTCACTGGAAATAATATTTCACTAAGAATCTTAAAATATAACATAAAACTGACATGCATCAAGGGTCTGATCCTAAGGGTAAACACAGATACCAAAAAAGCTAGGGCACTTTTAGGGGACACTATCAGGGAGATCATGCATGCTCCTGTTACTCGATACTACACACGATGTTTTATGACTTTTATCGTTTTATTATGTATAGAATCGCTTCAAATATGTTTATAATACTAAGATATAATCTAGAATAACACTAGTTCAAAACGCAACGTTTCTCGAACGTATTCTGAGCACGCGAGGCGCGCCGCTGGTCGCTCGTACCAGTCTCTAAACTGTTCGCATATATTATCGTTCATTACGGTATCACTCTCCCCTCCTCATTGAATGCCATCCATGACATATACGGATCTTTCTTCTTATCTTATCATTTACAGGTATTTCTCTAAGACACCTGGGCTGGTTGATCAGACACAACCCATTAACTCTATCAAACCTATCTAATACTCATGCGCGCATACTCATTCTACATATAGATCCGTTTTTCCGTAACCTCAGGTACGATACACGTTCCTCCATAACTATGGATTCTTAACGACAAAAGTACAATGTTTTTCTAATAATATGATTTAAAATGTTCCAAATATCTAAAACGCAAACATTGGCTGGTTGTGGTACATTTGAGGGTAACCAAACAATGGTGGAGTTGGTGGATAACCAAATGGTGGTGGAGTTGGTAGGTAACCAAACGGTGGTGGGGTCGGTGGGTAATCAAATGGTGGTTGAGTTGGTGGGTAACCGTAAAATAGGTGCGGTTGTGGTGGTATGAAGCCGCAGGTCTGCATCATTCCAACGGTGGGGTTTTGACATACATTGAACACACCAGTCGCTGGATTTCCGGGTGTGTTATATCCAAAACGTGATGGCGGCTGTCGAACTCGTTGTGGTCGCGGATAAAATCTAGCAGTTTCTTCGCCGTTATTTCCCGCTTGGATCACATTTTCATGTTCATTCGTCGTCGATGGGGTTTGGGTGATTGGGTTCTCCGTTGTAATGTCACCTGCAGTATTCTCTGCTGTGAGATTTTGTTCTTCCACTGTGGGGTTTCCGTCTTGTTCGCTTGTCTCACTTGGTGTCACTGCATTTCTCTCGGTGTCTTCGAACGTTTCACTGTGCTCAGTGTGCTGTGACTGTTGTGCGTTCAGTTCTTTCATATCATTTGGCAGTGCAGATGGTCTCTCCTCTCCCTCCGAATCTGAATCTGTGTCAACTTGTTCGTCATTTGCAGAAAACTGTTTTCTCGGTTTTAGCTTTTCTCTTCCTTCACTTGTTTCACTCTTCTTCGTTTTGACCGATTCGTTAATTTGTACGCCGTGGTCTGGTGGGAGGTAATCACAGGGTAATAATAGGTTGCGGTGTAGTGTTCTTATTTTTCCACGTCCAGATTCTGACTTTATGTCATAAACAGGGCTTTCAGGGCCTTTTCGGGACACTACTACATGGATTTCGTCTTCCCAGAATCCTCGAAGTTTTCCTGGACCTCCGCGTGGAGTAAGGTTTCTCACCAGTATGCGATCACCTGGAGAAAGGACTGTTGATCGAATACGTTTGTTGCTTTGTTTCTTCCCCTTCTCCGCGGCTTGCTGAGCTGATTTTGAAGCTAGCTTGTACGCTTCCTCCATCGCTGTCTTCCATTTTCTTACGTAGGCTGGATATCCCGTTACTTCTTGTTTCTCTGGCAAGTTGAACATGAGATCAATGGGGAGACGTGGCGTCCTACCAAAGAGTAGCAAGAATGGAGAATACCCGGTAGCCTCGTGTCTCGTACAGTTGTAAGCGTGGATTAGTTTATTAACATGGTCCTTCCAGTTCGTTTTGTATTGTTCAGGCAGGGTTCGCAACATATTCAAAAGGGTCCGGTTCATTCGCTCAACCTGTCCATTCCCCTGGGGGTGGTAGGGAGTCGTTCGTGAGTGGGAAATGCCAGAGAGTTGTTCTAGTTTCCAGAAAAGCTTATTCTCAAACTCTCCACCCTGATCATGATGGATTCGAGAAGGGTATCCAAAACGTGGGATAAACTCGTTGTAGATCTTTTCAGCAGCGGTGTGGGCTGACTTGTTTCGAGTTGGGTAGGCCTGGGTGTATCTCGTGAAGTGATCGACTATAACAAGTATGTACTCATACCCTCCCGAACTGCGTTCCAGATGTACGAAATCTATGGATACCAATTCGAATGGAGCTGTCGAGGTGATTGACTGTTGTGGTTCTCTGGTGTTGACACTTGGTTTCTTTTGTTTCAGGCAACGACAAACATGGTTGATGTAATGGTCAATGTCCGTCCTCATACCAGGCCAGAAAAATCGTTCTCTAGCTAGAGCAAACACGCGTTCCGTTCCAAGGTGTCCCATTTCCTCATGGAGTTCATGGTACACCAACCGTCTATACTGAAGCGGCAATACAATCTGTTGGCCACGATACAAGATGCCGGTTTTCTTCTCCACGTGTAATTTACTCAACTCTCGAAGGTGTCTTTTCACTTCCCGGGTCTCCTGTTGTCGGTCATCGAAGGTCGGTTTTGTCTTACTGTTCACATACCATAATAATCTGCTTATGGTCCGATCATCCCTTTGAGCTTTTGCAATGTCCACCATCTTAATTTGACTCGTATTCTCTCGATTTGACAAGTGACGTTTATCGGTTTCCAAAACATCTGGTTGATCTGTAATTGATGTTATCCATACAGTGTTACCGTTATCAATCGAACGAATCTGGGAACCAGCAGCACTAAATTCTTGGTGAGAGACAGTCCGCGTACAGGAGTCCATATATTTCGTAAAATCTCCTGGAATTCGGGATAGGCTGTCGGCATCAATGTTAATTTTTCCAGGTCTGTACTTGATTTCAAAGTCAAAGTCTGACAGCTCTCCAATCCATCGCAGTCCGGTTGCATTTAGCTTTGCCGTCGACAGGACGTATGTGAGAGGGTTGTTGTCCGTGTAAACGATAAATCGAGGGGAATAGTAAAGGTAATCACGAAATTGTTCCGTAATTGACCATTTCAGTGCAAGGAATTCCAATTTCCCTGCATGGAGGTGGTAGTTACGCTCGGCTGGAGTCAAGGTACGTGAGGCGTATGCAATTACCCTTAAAGTTCCCTCTTGTTTTTGATATAAAACCGCTCCGAGTCCGTGCTGTGAAGCGTCGGTATGAACTACGAATGGGGTGTTGTAGTCAGGATATGCTAAGATGGGTGGTGATGTAACACACTCGATTAGCTTGTTCATTGCAGTTCCATGTTCCGTAGTCCATTTTATTGGATGTTTCGATGGGAGTTGACCATTAGTTGGTGGTGGTCTCACTTTCTGATGCTTTCCATCTAACAATTCGTATATGGGTTTTGCAATCCTGGCAAAATAATATGGCGACGATACACTCCGAATCTCAACGTTAATTTAAAATATACGCGTACCTTCGCTACATTTCTTCGATCAAAACATACGCCAAAAATCACTGTATTTCCATATTTTCGTCTCGGTGGGACCTCCAAAATGTTACTCGATACTACACACGATGTTTTATGACTTTTATCGTTTTATTATGTATAGAATCGCTTCAAATATGTTTATAATACTAAGATATAATCTAGAATAACACTAGTTCAGGGCTGCCACTCTCGATAACCCATTTTCACCTAGGGCGGGCACAGAAATTCCCTACTTTTCCCCTACAGCACAATATGCAATTTCCCCCTCTGTTCCCCTACGTTCCCCTACAAATACTGTATTTCCCCTACAAATATTGTATATTTGTATTTTTAAATTGTCGTGGAGTTATCAACTTATCACTCATCACATGATATTTCAGTGCTTCCACACAGGGCCTCTCAGAGGGGGAGGCAAAGGGGGGAATTTTCCCTGGGCCCCCAGTTAAAGGTGTCCCAAAAATTTGCAAAATGGGGGCCACAAAAGATGTAATTAAAAAAAATAATTTGGAACATTTTTTATATAAATAGTGGTAGGAGAAAAACATTTTTAGATCCTAATTTTTCACTTGTGTTTGTCCGGAAAAATTTTTGGAACCTTTTTTCTGCTACCATATTCAAATTTAAATTTCTAGTTGCTTCCATAAACTTCCCGATCCCGTGTTTCCATACAATACTCCATAAAAGCCATAAAATATTGAAATTTACGGAAGGACTGATTTGGATAAACACAAAAAGGGAAATACGATTTTTGAAAAGAACCCCTCTACATTCCCCTACAAATTACCTTTTCCCCCATAGGTATCCCCTACCCCCTACAAGAGGTGATAACCCCCTACCGTAGGGGAATCCCCCTACGAGTGGTAGCCTTGCACTAGTTCAAAACGCAACGTTTCTCGAACGTTTTCTGAGCACGCGAGGCGCGCCGCTGGTCGCTCGTACCAGTCTCTAAACTGTTCGCATATATTATCGTTCATTACGGTATCTCGGCTGGCTGTTGGGCCACGCAATCAGCTGAGTAGCCGTGGAAGCGAGGATGGATTAAAGCTTGTTTCTTTGCGCCAGGAGATTTTCAGCATGAATCAATTTTTGTGTTAGCCGCTAACACATTCATATACCTAAAAAATAGGATGTCAAGATGATGAATTTCGGAAATTGTCGCCAGGTCGTTTCGGAAATTGTCGTCTATGTTTTTTTATTATACATGATGAATTTCGGAAATTGTCGTCAGGCCGAGCATTCGACAATTGTTTGTTTTTTATTCTACAGTACGTACTGTACTTTTCATAGACTTTTACAATACAGTACGATGCAAACGATCGATAATAGTTCGAATAATTCAGGTAAGGATAGCTTTATTTCTTTCAGGTGTATACATGAAGGCATCTATATTTAGATCTGCTGTTTAGTGTTGATATAGAGGTACTAAAACATTAAACAATATGATTTCATGAATAGCATGTTTTATAAATCGTCCACGGTCACTGATCGTCTTAATTAAAGTTTATATTTATAGCGAGATTTATAGTATACAAGCAGTCAAACTATATACTTTTAGTTTATTTGTTTGTGTGGCGATGTGCCAAGGCGATGAGTTTAAATATAGTGTTCATTCTAGATGTCAATGTGCTTTCAGCACGTTTTAAAAACAAACGCGTTTTAAAACCAAGTTTTACCAAATCTGGTCACACCGCTTGTTGTGAAACATGTGAGAATTAGGTAAAAATGCGGAAGCGGATGGAGCGAATCAACGGAACGGATATGGGGATAAAATACGGAACGGATGGGGATAAAATGCGTCCGTTCAATGATGCAACGTCGTAGTGCTTATTATTCATAGCATATCTTCTACAGCTATTTGAATTAAAGTTGTCACTGAGACAACAGTCAAATGTGCAATATGGGCGGATGATGGGAATAATCATAGTTTTAAATAAGTTTAGCATATCAGTAGCCTCGGGGGATGCTTCTGCAAATACAAATAAACTATATACTTTTAGTTTGTGTGGCGATGTGCCAAGGCGATGAGTTTATATATAGTGTTCATTCTAAATGTCAATGTGCTTTCAGCACGTTTTAAAAACAAACGCGGAATGTTGTGTTAAAGATATTCCTATAACAACCCAGTGTGGATTGTTGTCTGCACATATTTATAACTTACCAACAGCTACATGTATTATGCATGTAATAATATGTCAACCGATTTTTGTACAAGGTAAGACGGTCTGTAAAAATATATATCTGAGATATCAGATACGTCCATTGTTAGCATTATATGAAATAAACCTACCGGCCAACATTTAACAATTATTCGCCGAAGGCGAGGTGATTATCGGGGAATATTCACCGAGACAAAGTCAAGGTCAGTAGCCTCGTGGGGATTCTTTCATTCAAGTATTATTGTTTATATATACATGATATATTGTAACACCGAGTATTCAGTGGCAAGCTAGCCATGGCAACTGGTCATGCTATGCTAATAAACCTGTACTATTTGAATAATGCAAAAACTCGTATAGCACGTATTGACCTCATGTTGCTATGTGCTTTCTGCCTTGTCGTTTTGCATACAATCGTTTTAGGCAAGCTTTCCGAGGCTAACGCATGTACGCTCTGCGTACCTATTTTTCCCATTTCTCAGCATGCATTGCATGCACGTCATGTAAATTCACGTCATTCGCGCAATACTGATGGTATTGCAGTGACTAGAAGTTACTATCGCAAGGAAAGTGCTGCCTCATCCCCAAGGGATCAAAGGCAACATGCACAATTTGCTGAATAAGGGGCTGTTTATATGATCCCGCTTTGCCAGGACGAGATATGAGGCGGGAAAAATGTATTTTAGATTTCGATGTATTGAAATAAGTCGTGGTCTACAACTGACGGTATTCACTCAAATTCATGATTTCGCAATGCAGCGTGAGATACTATAATATCCCACGGTAGATCCACCGTGGGATATTACAGTAGTGAGCTTAAGCAAGTGACGTTTTTGACAACACGAACGGCATGAGTAACGTCAGAAGACTGGGTCAAGGGCTGTGATTGGTGAAAAACGTCAACTTTACTTCCCGTCGACGTCCGTGTTGTCAAAAACGTGACTTGCTTAATTAAGCTCACTAGTATCTCACGCGTGACGCGTGGACACGTGGACAACACGCTCTGAAACAATATGGCGTTCGCGAGCTGTTGTTAGTAATTTCGTACAGAAGATTTATTAAAGGTACGTTTACACGCTGCGATTTGTCGGGCCGATTTTGCTCGCTGTATGTAAATAACCTGTCGTGAGTACTCGTGTCAGCACCTTGCGATTCACAAAATCGGGAGAAAAATCTGTAACAAAACCACAGATTTTTCTCACGATTCAACGATTTTTCTTCCGTTGTAAAGTTGTTGAAAACTTTTCGCACGCAGAAAACTATAATATGAACAGACGAGAGAGCGGACAGCTTCAATTGAACGTTTAAATCGCTAAATGTCGAAGAAGGGGCATCGATAATTTACCAAAATCGGCCCGACAAATCGCAGCGTGTAAACGTAGCTTAAGTTAACCAAAGATTTTCAAGACGTATGTTACCTTCAACGATCCAAAGGATACATGCTCAAATATTTTAAAGAGAAAACGTCAAAAACTCAGGTATACATGAGAAATTAAAAATTATATTCGCTTCAAGTTTTAAAGTTTATTCTGAACTTGGTGGGTTCTTTAACTTTCGGTATAATATATCATTTATAGACCCTCCGGGGATTCGGCGGAATATTACCCTCAGTGATTATATTTTCCTCGGGGCAAAGCCCATCGGAAAATATCATCACTTCAGGTAATATTCCGCCGAATCCCCCTCGCTCCGGGTCTATAAATGATAAATATTTTTACAGGTGAATATAACAAAACCGAAATTTTCAAAATGGCGGCTGGCCGTTGTGTGGCCATTATACTGACAAAGAAATAAGCGAAATTAAAATAAATTCAGTCCCAAAAAACACAAAAATACTAAAACAATTATTCGCCTCAGGCTCGGTGATTATCGGGGAATATTCACCTCGACTTCGTCTCGGCGAATATTCTCCGATAATCACCTCGCCTTCGGCGAATAATTGTTAAAAACACGGGCGCTGATTGGTCAAAAAACCCGTGTTTCTATAATTCGATAGAAACACGGGGAATTTTCACGCGGGTTGTGTGGATTGCGGGGGAGTTTGAAAGACAAAATACAAACAATACTTATTATTTACGTCGGAACGCTTTGTTGGTGACATAAAAAGCGAAGACGGACCTAAAGCACAAAACACAAAGTATAATACAGCATACGTTGTATCTGTTTGACTGTTTACCAAGGTAAGATATTTTACTTTGTCTTTTCAAAAAAATATTTCCTCGCGACGTTTTTAATCATGTTTACTATCGTTTTTAATCATGTTTAAACGTTTACTATCTATTTAAAACAGTGCTTTCTTTGCAAGCATGTATATGTTGTTGAGTGAATTATATATTTTAAAGTAAGTCTGTTAAGTGCTGTCTGTTGTTTTGACAGCGATATACTTGTTTACTTGGCTATGCCTATGCTTTAATTATTCTTTACACGAACGTATATTGAGATAGAAGTAATATTTGAATGAATATAATTAAAATCAATAAATTTATCTTTTTATTGTTTTTTAAAAGGCTATTTAATAAAGGAAATAGAAAACATTTTTTCTGTGTTCCTATAAAGCACAGAATATGTGCTTACTATAGAGTTTATTATAGAAACACTTGTGGAAGTTTGGGAGAAACTCGAAATTGCGTGGAAACACTCGCACTTCGTGCTCGAGTTCCCACGCAATTTCTCGTTTCTCTCAAACTTCCACGCGTGTTTCTATAACTCTATAGAGACACGGAAAATGTTAAATAGGAATATCTTTACATGATAATTGATAAAGCATACACAACATTCCGCGTTTGTTTTTAAAACGTGCTGAAAGCACATTGCTATGTCTATGAACATCTAGAATGAACACTATAAACTGAGTGAACACTATACACTCATCGCCACACAATTGACACAAACAAATATTAAAACCAAAAGCACATTTTGATTCCTACAGGAATGCCGGAACCACGGGTGCAGCGGGTGCAACTGCACCCCTTGCCTTTTACGTACATTTTCAACTTTGTGAGTGCAGTGCGGGTGCAGACTATGGGTGTAACGGGTGCACAAAACTTTTACAACAGACAGAATTAAACGTCGCTCGAAGATGTGTGCGGGAGTGTTCCACCGCCCAGCGTCAGGAATTCGGCAAAGTTGTTATCCATTTGGCGAAAGGTGAAACGGAAAGCATTACTTATGGAATTTTTGGCGAGAAATTAAGGAGGAATTGTGCCTAAATCATTGTATTCAGTCCGAAAAAATTTGGTGACGGGGAGGGAGGTCGACACGAATGTTGGATCATGACGCCCTTTCATTTTCATTGGTACCCTTTTGTTAAGGAGTATGCCCTCTTGTTAACCAATTGCACCCCTTGCCCTCAGCAACTTCCGGCATTCCTGGACTCCTATTTATAGTTGTATATAAAGACGATCTGCCGATAAATTGGCGAAATCATATTGATTATTGTTTCAAATACCTCATATCGAACACTTCTAACAGCAGATGTAAATATAAATGCCTTTGTATAATATCACCAGAAAGAAATAAAGCTATATCCTTACCTGATTTCAAAATATTGTCGATTTGTGAAAACCCAACATATGTATAAAATGTGTCATGCGAGCGCAATACAAAATAAATTTTGACCGCCCCCCTCGTTTAAAAAAACTTCCTGTAGCATTAATTATTTCCCCGGAATTACGACATCTTTACATACATACATACATACATACATACATACATACATACATACATACATACATACATACATACATACATACATACATACATACATACATACATACACACATACATACACACATACACACATACATACATACATACATACATACATACATACATACATACATACATACATACATACATACATACATTACATACACACATACACACATACACACACACGCACACACACACACACACATACATACACGCATGCAGACAGACACTGAAGACGCAAATCTCAATCGACTATACATAACTCGGCCAAAGAGACTGGACACAAGTAAACGCAGGCACGCAATACTTCATGTCAAGAATAGGGCGCTGCCTTCGGCAGCAGATAGCTATCGTCAGTTTGCCATAAGTCATGACCGAGTTCCGTCGGCTTCATGTTTTTAAGTAATGCGGCTTTAATTTCAAGTGATGTTATGTATACGAGCAATCAACTGCTCTTATGTAATAGTGTAGCATGTTGTGTGCTCATGCTGTACACCAGCAGCAAGTTGTTGTTTTACCAAACAACTTGAGTAAAGCATAATAAAGCATACTGTGTTGACTTAGGATCTTTATATTTGTTACTTGTGTGAAAACAACATTTAATAAAGGATGCACCTTGTGTTGTTGAATTAATTTACGAAACCAAATTATTTCGGTTGTGTTGATATTTGGGTGTTGGATATAATTGAACTAACGTGGCTATACTACTACTTGTTGAAGGGATTTGTAGATCCATCATCGTAATGTGCTTCTGAAATTGTACTTCTGTTGTAGCGAAGCCGAAGTAAAAAGCTTCACTTGCCAGGTTGCTTTGTCTCTAGTGATTGACCCACCAAGTCACAATCGGCCTGATTCCGATTGTTGAATGACATCATTCATTGTTGCATATTATTTGGCATTAAACTAAATGTATATAACAAAGCTGTACCTATAACTCTTCAAATTAAGCATAGATTGCATCAAATTTATTGCATCAAATTTTCAGCTACAAAAGCTAGTCATATGTTGCCAACTTAATCCCCCCCTGGCATCTGCTTGGTAAATAGACTGCCTCTGAAGAGTTATTTTATTTCCAAAATAATTGGTTGCATCATACGAATGGAAAAAACAGGAACTTCAGACCGATTCTGTTTGCCTACAGATAACATGATAGCCTCATTCCAATTCCAAATATCGGTCAATCACTATTTGGCTCATGCAACTAATCTTCGCTGCTGCTCGTAAATGACTGCTTGCATAGTAAACCTTCGCTGTTCAGAATCTCTATATTTTTCATCCAAGATGTAAACCGCTTTCCTCCCCAGGATCTCCTCAAACGTTTTTCCAGGCACCGGGTCATCAGAATGAATATAACTGGAACGCTACCTTCAGATAAACTGCCTATCTTTTTCTTAAAACCGAATCTGACCCCTAAGATACGCGTGTGAAAAAATTTCTCAGTGCCCCAATCATTGGAGGTAAATAATGTATAATCGGTTGTAATATGCAAATAAAGTGCAGCAGTAAAAAGCTTTTACACTTGCCAACCTAGGGTATAATTATCGAAATTCAATTACAGGTTCGAAATAACAATTCTTTCTTTTTGCGATTGTTGACCGAAACTCTTGTCTAAGCAAGCGGCACACACAGAGCTAGTGCATTTGGCTGATAATGCCGATATCTATAGTCAATCGTAATAAAGATTCAGACACTTCAACCAAATGAGTAGCGGTCAGTAAAAGCATAGCAAAAGTAATATTTCATTCTCTCTAAATCAATACTGAGGCTTTTGATATGGAACCGGAAAGAAATGTCAGCAGGTGCAAAATTTGAATGATTTCTTGCAATAATTGTTCAATTGAATGTGATAATTACATATCAAGGTCAGTGCATGACTAATCATGAGCCGCAATTACCTCAATTGTTGAAGGACTTCAGCTGCATGTTCTACTCAATGTCACTATAACTACAATCAGTGACAAAATACGTGGACTGGTTAGGCTGAGATTGTAGCATATCCCCCCCCCCCCGTTCAATGTTGTTAGAGTAGTTTGGTGATCTATTGTGTTGTTGATAACTCTCCCAGCACACACAGCAATACTGAAATGGAAGGGGGGAAGGAGGTTACGTGCTATTTTGCGCAATTCCGGTACAAAAAAAACCGAGTCTAAGTGTATCTTTCAATCTCACTAATTGTAGCTAAACGTTCTATGCGAACACGAGCTGACACTATTGTTAACTGTGTATCTTGGATGCATAATTCCAATTTTGGAGTAGTATTGCACTTTTGGGAATTCGTAGAGTTCACACAGAACAATAACATAACGACTAGGCTGGCGGTGTGTATCCTAATAAGGCGAATTGCCCGTCCAAATATGTGCTGGGTATACTTCACTTGCAGGACTTCGTACTTACCCCCCAAGAATAGTTTGCGTATTATAAAATGGCGGCCCTAGCTCTATCAAGAGTGGAAAGCAAAATTCTTCGGCTATCTGAGAAAGTTAAAACAATCTTTCTCACGCTCGTCTCTGCTTTTCTTCCAATTCCTCTTTGAAGTCCTCATGTCCCTCCAAACCACAATAATTCCCACTAAAAACCCTCAAATATTCTGTGCTCAAGAGTTGCCTGCGGAGGAGGCTAGCCGATTATCCTATATGCGCTAGAAATGTAAGCAAATATGGTAGGTAACAATACGCCTGATACAAAATCAATATGGTGTTTCGAAAACATGAAACGTTGATTTTAGGTTTATTCTAAAGCCCGGACCAAACTATACACACGCGTAAAAACACTCAAGTTGTTACAAGTCTGCAAACAAGTTGTTACAAATCTGTTCACAAGCTGTCGACCGAGTTGTCTTCGCACTGCTTGTTCCCAGTTGTTGGAACAAGTTTGGAACAAGCTGTTAACAACTTGGAACAAGCTTGATAGCATTATCAGACTTGTTACAAGGTTGTTCTAACAAGTCTGATACAGTCATGATAAACAAGAATGTTACAAGGCTGACGACACAAGGTTGTAACAATACTGTTATATCATAACTGTATCGGACTTGTTGGAAAAACCTTGTAACATGCCTGATAATTTCAACAAGGTTGTTACAAATTGTTAATATCCTGTTCCAAACTTGTTGGCAACTTGGGACAAGCAGTGCGAATACAACTTGTTGACGGCTTGTTGGCAGACTTGCTACAAGATGTGAGATTTTTACGTGTGTAGGATGATCGAGATGAGAAATCACAGTCACGTGATCTTGGTTAACTGCTGCATGCTCTAAATGTTTTCCCAACAATCGTGTATTTTATGTTAAAACATCGTTCGAATACCAAAACTTTATTTTGTCATCAACTCTCATTCGCTTTATTATGCACAAAAACATCATTTTGTCGTATAGCTCAATGTTGCCAATATTGCATGATTCTCCAATACGCGGATTTTGACTTAAGTGTAGATTACTATAAATGAACAACTTGCCAAATACAGCCCACGCGTTGATGCCGATGTAAGTAATCAATCTTAAAGAACTCGTTTCCCGCAATATTAATGTTATTGCTATAAGGTCGGCTATATCCAAGGGCAAGGAGCAACTAATCAATTATATATAAAGCTGTGGAAGCACAGGCCACACACACAGACATGCACTTATTCATTCACAGCGTGATTCACCTTCTCCAAATTTGACTGCCTAATCATGTCCCTGTGTTTTTCAGCTTATTGCAAGAACATGAAAAATTTTTCTTGGTACCCTACCAAGACCCATCAGCTTTAGGTAAGATTATAATCTTATTATTATGTATACATTATAGTTTATAAATAGTGGGAGGTCGTGGGTATTATACTTTAAAATCTGCAAATATAATTAAGTCTGTAGTTCATATAACACATATACTGTCTAGTTGTGTATGTAACGGAGAAGCATAACTCACGACAAGTCAATTGATGAGTGTGGGATTGGAACTTGCAAAACGCCGATTATTGAATATGGGTTTGTGATTTTTTATACGGTAATTTCATACAGTACAGATTTTTCTACATTTAATTTGTTTTCCTGCATATACATAGTAGTGTCTGTTAGACTACAGTAAGTTATTGCACTATAGCTGCTTACTATACAATATACTGTACAATATAATGATTAATGTGATACTCTATATACCATGCACCTGTAAGATGTTCCTGAACAATCTGACAATGCCTTCTTGGGTACAGTTCGACACTTAATATTATATTTTTAACTTGTCAAGCGACATTATTTTGACCTTGATATAATGTTTTTAAGTGGTCGAATATTAGCACACTTATGCATGCATAAATACATACAATATATTTTCTACTTCATGATCATTGCCTACCTAAGATTTAATATTTTTGTTGCTTATGAAATGTGCGATATAAAAGAAACATAACGGTAAATTGGGCTCGTTGTATATATTCACATATATGTATTTAAAAATTAGGTAATGGTGGACAACGTTATCAGACAAAGACACAATAGTTGGCCGGTTCATTGTCTGATAGCTTTTTTTTAGTCCACTTTACAGGGAACTTGATATTAGTGAATAATAAATTAACCGTAGAATAGGGATGATGACAGCCTTCCTAACTTAACTGCATTGTATTGTTTACGAGACACTGCAAGCAACCAGACCATACTTGATACTTAGTGAAATCCATGAAGGTAAAATATCTTTGACAATCTTATCACTTCGCCACCTTCAGCAACGTTGCATGGCAGTATTCAAATATTAAATAATATTCGGTAGATTTTCATTTGGAGAACATATAAGAAGGGAGGTGACATCCCACCCCACCCCCCAAATTTATGAAATCGGTCCCGAAACTTAATATTGTCGGTCCGGTTTGGCGGTTTTGATCCAAAACAGATGATCATTTTGTGCATGCAATATGTCGAAAAGAGATAAACAAATGGGTATAGAATGTCTGAGTTTAACGACCTTCTGGTGTGCATGGAACGAGCTTCAATGAAAACAAAGGTGAAGTATTTATTTTCATTGTTTATGCTTCCAGGTTTATACAGTATACTGTATACAATCTTTGGAATTCTGTATATTCTATTTCTTACCCCAAAATGCTGCAGGTAATCGCATGGACTTTAGATTTCCCGGGGGAGCATACCCTGGATCCCCCTGGAGCTGTCTTTCGTGTTCCATAATACCCCCTTTCCCGGCCCCACTTTCACTGCCCTTGCGCCACCTTGTACATCGCCATCGGTACCAGAAAAGAGGACAACCCCTGATTGCGACCCTCATTGAGGAAGCAACGACTGAAGAAAGTAGCCATTTAATGTTTAGCAGATCCTGAATTTGCCTTTTTCAAATGTTCCTCAAAAGTGCGTAAAAACGATGGAATACTTGACCGTAGCCACATTATAGTTTTCAACCAAAGTATAAACGTATATGTGACTGGATGTATTTTCATGCCACAAATGACAAATAAGGGAGTATGATCTAATTACTTTTCCCATAACGTGTGTGTGAAAAAGTGAAACTGTTCCTCAATCCACTTGGCAAGGCAAATGTTCCTCAGGATCCCGAGAACCCACTTTTTTACATACTATTAGCAGGCGCAAATTAATGTTTTTGTGGAAACATTTGCATGTGTTGTTATATCACAAACTTTCGACCCGTAAACCAAGAACTAATTTATTCTTGCAAATATTATTAAAGTAATGTTTGCTCTAGTTGATAAAAAAGTTATTGACCTTAAGAGTAGCAAAAACTGAGACATTTTGTGAGCCAGTTCATACATGCACGGTGGTTTCCTGCACTTGGGACCTGGGTACATGCATGCAAGATTGGCTCTTTCGAATGGTCACCTATTAGTAGATCTTTTAGACCCGTCAAGACTTGTTCAAATAACCAACCATTGTCGATCTGACACCATCCAACGATTTTCAAACATTTTTATATCAGCGCTTCTTTCACAAATATATAGTTTACAGTACATACGTTCATTTCTTTGCTAGCTATAGGATTTTTTTGCAAAACATTTGAAAAATAGGAAAGTGGCTTTAATGCTTTATTGAATTTTCCACATTCTGTTTGTTCGGAAATGAACGCCTCTTTTTTTCAAGGTTGTCTATTCAGACCCTGTGACTGCAACTGTATATTCACTGAGCCACTCTGACGCGGAATGGCAGGTGCATAAGTTCTGCGGCTATCAGAGGGCTTATTCCTGCCATTCTGCATTCAATCGTCAGGTAATCAACGCATGCAGCGACGTACGTTTTTAA